GTGACACTCTCGTTCCGGTCCACGGACACCTATGGTATTGAAATAGACTCAATGATTCTCATGGTCGACGATGATTCTCTTAAAGACGATTTCTTCCGCTGCACGGCCCACTGTGATGCATCTATCAAGTATTCTGCCATCAAATCAATAGACGACATTCCTTCGGGGGAATTGGTTCAGAGGAGCCACAAGACGTTTTGTGCTGAAGACAGAAACATCAACTACCATCTGTTCCATGAAAGCATCACAGAATACCGCCTGACAGCAACACCGCCGAGATACAGAACACTCCTCAATGACAACAAGAAAGACACCACGGGCTGTGAGCCTGTCTCAGACGTTATCTGGGAATTTCGGAACTTCCGAGTTCTTCCGAGTGAAATCCCACGGGTCGTGAGTAATGCTCGAATGACATTTGGTGGAGATAATGCTGCAAAATTCACCACAGTGAACTTCAAGTTCAACCTGGATAAATCCTTCTCTCGACAGTCTGATGTAGATGTTGCTTCAACTCTCATCTTAAAGTTCCAGGAACCAAAGACACTATTTTCTATCCTGCTTGGCCATAGCTCTCGTGCTGGTAAGCTGACAATGGTTCGACCTACGTCCAATAACGGCGAGTTCTATACATGGGAAATACCGGAATTTACCTGGGTAACGGATGACCAGAACTACGTGAATCTCACTATCATGACCCCGCCAGGTGTAACAGCAGTGATAGACAACCTGAAACTTGTGCGCAAAGAGAAGATCCCCGACAAGAACATTGTAATCTACGAGGACGATGAAACTAAGGTGGTCGGAGTGATAGAGGATCAGTGGTGGCGCGCACCTCACGCAATGACAGTCACAATGATCGATTCGGGAGTCACATGGGACAACATAACAAAAATAAGTGTCTCTAGGGCCATTCGCTGGACAGAAGGTTTCAATGAGATTTTCCAGTTATATCAGGACGGACTCGCTAACATTAATGCTTTTGTTCCTTACGGCGTCAACCATGTACCGTTTGGATCCTCTGTTGTCATCGGTCAGTTCAACACAACGGACAGCCGCCCGCACGCCCCAATATCCACCGTCGTTGTTGACCCTTATTCCTTGAAGTTTCACCTGGATTATGTTGATTCAAGTGTGGCAGAGCTGGAGATCAACTCTAAAGGTGATGACACAGAACTCCATGTCAAGAACGCTAACTATACCCGAGACCGTTTAACGTACCCCATTGCTGCCATCAGGTCGACGTGGGTATCGGACGGAAATGCCGATATTGATCACGTTAGTGCCAACTTGAATGAACCAAGAGAGGCCCTGAACGGGTGGGAAAGCATATATGGGACGGCATTCGCCTTTTTCCGCCAGTGTATTTCTATGCACAACACCCAAGGCCCTGACCTGTTCCTCGAGCTGCTGAATACACCAGAGACAGATGAGGATGACACAAGATAAAGACTATGAACAATCTGTGTAAAATACACCCATCCCCAACCCGGTGCCGCTCTCTGCGTTGTGTTGATTCAGGTGCTCAGACATACCTCTGCTGTCGTTTCAAGGATATCCTTTACACACGATTTGCAATGACATTTCCTTATTCGGGTCCGAAAATCCAGTACTGAAAGATTTGTCATAATTATCCGGTTCCATCCAGCTGATCGGATATATCCAATGTAATCTCGCTGTAAAGAAATGTTCTGTCTGTTTGATATATCATCAATATATAACGCATCTTTAGACTTGTTCGTAAGTCTCGTCTAAATACTCTTGTATCACTTCATGGTTCTAACCATATATGTAATGATAACATCTCGTGTGAATATGAATCGAGATCAACCAGAATCGTTTAGCGATACCATAGTCTTTGTGGAAAGACAAAAGGCCATGTGAATCTATAAATGGAATACTAATGCATGTGCAAAGTCATCCGTTACAGAACCTAACATGAATCCTGTGGAGTGTTCGTTTATAAATAATGCGTCTTTCATTCATGTTGTTTGTGCCCAGGTTCCACATGTGTGTATCTCATTATGGGATTATCTGTAAATACAGTGTACATTATGTATGAGGTTGGGGGTCTCTTCCTTCTTGATGCATTGTCTTAAAGCATTAATACCCATTGATCATGTTATTATGTGTTTACACCCAGTGTAATTACAAATGAGAGTTTATTTATATGACCATTTTTATACTGTTCTCAAATAAACAGAGGGACTTGAAGTTCACATTTTACCTTTTCTTTTTTCTCTCTCTCTCTCACTGTGTGTGTGTGTCATTTAGAATTATGGATTTGACCTACAGTAAAGTTTGTTTTAAGTGTGCATAAACATAGTTTACTGTAATAAAATGACCACTGCTCGATACTCATGCACAATCTTATATATTGATCACAAGTTGGTACATGGATGAACATCAGTATGGATATGGTATATTTTTTTGTAAAGTACTGTCGGAAATGCTAGAAAAATGCTTTTTGACTTTTATGTAAAACTCAGAGATATTACAGTTACTTAAATAACAAATATCAATTTAAGAAACATCTACCTAATGTAGACCGAGGGAATACATTTTGAGACGTTCTCTAAAATGTGTTTTTACATATGAAAATATCAAAAACTTAGAAAAATAAGGGGTAGTGGAACGTTATTTGATACAAACATTAACTGCCTGTGTTGTGTCATCAGCATGCACGGTATCGACAGGTGAAATTGACACCTGAGCACAAGCTAGGGTGAGGGGTCATCTCAATATATTTTTTTCTTCATAATGTTGAATATGTGTACGTATAGTATACGTATTGGTTATGTAAGGGATCATGTGATATCCACATTTCGCACACCACCAACACCTATAGATATATTTATATATGTGTGTGTGTGTGTGTTTGTTTTTAAATAAACATACGAATTATTGTGCATGAGAAAGAATCCCACCACTTGTGTTATTTTGTCGATTGATTGTAGAAATGTGCATGGTTTTAATGAACGTTTTGCATGTCAACAGTATATTTTTTCGCAAAAATATGGATGTAATTCGGTCAATTTAATCCAGTTGTGAACATTGGCCAAAGATTTAACGAAGTCACTGGTATAGCTTCTTTAGAACAGATATTGTCAGCGATGAGATCTGGCTCTGTCGAAGTAGAAACGGATGAGCAGTGATAACTTTTTATCTTGTTGTTTATTTGCTGGAGAGTCAGTGTATGAAGTAAATTTATGATGGATGTGTAAATGAGACTTAAACTCGATGCAAGTAAAATTTTATTCAAGTCATATAACAGACATTGGAATGAAGACCAGTTGAACACTTTATCCGAGTCTGAATCCGTGTCCTCATGCACTGGGATCACAACAGGTGTCACAACACTGATGTCCACTCCGTCACGTTGACGGTATTGGCGTTCAGTGTCAAGGACGTGGTCCTCTGGCTTCTGCCACACTTAGGGGTTATCCTGCTAATCGATGCATGGATCAACTCCATCACTTGCGAGAGCTTGAAGGTAGTGTTGTTCCTCGCAACGAACCCTTTACAGTTTGCCCAGATAAGTTCGATTGGGTTCAGTTCACAATGTCACACAGGTGAACGTAACACAACATGACCATGTTCAGCAGCCAGCACATCGGCCCTGTACTGAATGGGCTTCCTGTTAATGCGGATCTTCTCCATCAACTGTATCTTTGTGTCTGCCGGTCATTATTGTAGCTGGCATTATCCATCTCTATGACAGTGGGCTGATAAAGAATGGGCAAAAACTGATGTTCCCTCCAATCCATGAAGACATCTCCGTTCATCTCCTGATGGTAATCTCCACTTGATTTCTTTGCCTCAAAGACCAACTCACAACCGTCGATCAAACCTGTGTCCCGGCTTTCTGCATGAAGTACAATCATTCGGTTGCCCTTCCCAGATGGTACCACGGGGCTCTCTGTCGGTCTGTGGGTAACCACATATAGTCCGTAGAATGGGTCCTTGTTGACCCAAGTTTCATCCAGGTAAACTATCTGGAAGCCAAGGGCACGGTACTCTGCCACAGTGAGAGGATCTCATGGACACAATAAAGTACTTCTCCCTGAAGACAGCTCAGTCATCACCACGGGCTTTGTACTTGAACCCCATGTCATGGAGGGCAATGATGAGTGTGGTTCTGGAGACGTTGATACTGTCCTTAATTTCCTCTCTGATACTCCTACATGTAGGTGGAATCTTCTTCTCATAACGTTTGTAGACCGCCCGTCTAACCACTCCCTTGTCAAAGTTGTCAAGGATGGTTTGGGTTTTGAGATGGTCCCTGTCTTGTCTGATTTGTTTACAATATTGTAAACTTGTTGGTAAGACATACCAATAGCTCTACAAGTTCTGTAATAAACCCTTTCTAAACTAATGAAAGGTTTACCTGTCTTTCTCAAGCACAAAAAACTTATAAACCTTTGCTACAATCGTCTTCAAATCGCTGGCCATAGTCAACGCTGTGATAAAGATGTGCACGCATGACGGGAAACTTATTTATTAAGACTTAACATTTATATTCATTTATCTTCAATGAAGAAACGATAACTAAGTCAAGTAGCACAAACATTCAACATATATTTGTTTAAGAAAAACGTGAATTTATATTTTTGCACCACCTGTATTATTAGCATAAATTTAAAGACTATTTCAGATTTCTCATGTTAAACTCTGAAAAAATCTTGAGTTGTTGTTTTGGTACCAAATTCTCACCTGTAAACTGCCCTTCAAATGCATGGGAATGTTAAATCGATTGAAATAAAAATTAGGTACACTATAGGCGAGTTGATCTATTGACAACATAGTACATTTATCACCTTTATCAAAGTATTAAGGCTAAAAAGCATTTTTCTAGCATTTCCGACAGTACTTTAGTCTGTGTCTACCACTGAAACATCTGGCAAAGGGACAATACTCTGCAAAGCTACCCATGCCACAAGAACATACAGGCCATTTGCCCTTACACTCTTTTCAAAGTGTGATTGAGGACAACAAGTCTAACGGATACTAAAATTTCGTTTATTATCATACTTCATCAATAATAATAATAAAGTTAACGTATGTACATGGAATGCTAAAATCTGGAACTGCTATGTACAAATGCATAGCTCAAGTGATATCAACCTTGGTCTTAAGTCAAGGGAATGGGAAACTCTGTATAACACACATATAAACACTGTAAAGGCGGCATATATATATACTGCAATAATACAGGGATACTTCTCCAAGGTACATCAAAGGTTGGTCTATGCTATGGCATAGCAGGCAAGTGCACAACACAGGACAATGCTGCAAGATGGCTGCCAATAGGTAATGCGTCATAATGAGATGGTAAAGAAATGTGCAAAGTGTTTATGACATGGTAAGTATCATTAATCAGAAATAACAATAATAACTTTATTGTGTTCAGTTAGTCTTATGTGTGTTCTCCAGTAATTTGAACCTGCCACTAACATATCTTTCATATTGGGAAAAGTTACATATATTTTCCAGCAGACATGTAAAGGGAGTTAACCCATATCAATAACATGGAAGTTGTACTTGAAGATAAGGAAACATTGCAGAGTAAGTGTAATATCTATTATCTAAATAAAATATGTACAACTAGCAGATACGATTTGTACACAAGATCATAAATGTTATCTCTGCAATGAACAAACTATGTTTCATCAACAATAATCCCATCCAGCTACATAGAATTTAAAAAACATGTCTCTGAACAAAGAAGTTAAAAATGGAACCTAGCATGCTTAATGTCTGTCCATACTTTATTTTAAAGATTACACGATATCCCTTGTTACCCCCTCTCACACCCCCTCCCGCTACCTACACATTGAACACAATTCACAGTGTCACATTCACTGAATGATAATGCATGATGTAGAATGTAAAGTGACTGATCCATAGTTGGAGGAACATGACCAGCTCAATGTGATGTTCATCAGCTGATGACTGCAACTGTTCAGGAACACTTCCACACTACAATGGCCACATTGCCACCGAAGAACATATAGAGCAGGTTCTTCACTTCATGGGTGATCTCAAAGCCAAGGCCTTCACCAACAACTGCATGCCAGGAGGCGCCAAACTTCTTGTCCATAGTCTCCTTGATCATCTTGGCAGCATTCTGTGGAAAGTTATACACACAGTGGTTGATATCAATATAATGATTCATGTCATAGTTAATGGCAGTCTATCACTCTCATATTCAGACAACCATCAGACCCTGGAGTGAAGCAGGGTTCAGTAATAAGGGCGTTTCAGGTATGCTGCTGTGTAGTATTTGAATCTAGAGACTCCACTAAAGTTTAGAGTTTAAATTTTCACAGTTATGACAAGAACCCCTTCCTGTTTATGCTGAACTTCAAATTTGTTTTCCATCGACTCAGTGTACACAGTATAGAATATATATATATATGAACAAAGTATGGAAATTTAGACATATTTTTAAGTTTCTTTTGAAACTATTGATCTCATCTAATTATCATTTTCTGAAGTATTCCATAACGAAACGGACCTAGTTTTTTCTTCAATATTTCAGAAGAAGATAACAGTCTTACACTTGGGTTCATACCTCGTTATTGCTGGCAAACTTCTCACAGGCTGTGACACACAACTCCATAGCTTCAGTCTTCATTTCATCATTCATATCAGAATGCTTCAAATAAGACAATGAACAACACAGTTAGCCAAAACCTTTTAACACAATATGCATGTACAACAAAGAGCAGAAAATATATTAAATGTGATAACTTAGTTATAGGGCTGGGATGACTCACCAATGCACCGATACATCGCGATACATTTAAGTTTGATACATCTATACAAAACGATACACAACTTTTTTCAACATAGTATTATCTTAAACATGATAACATACTTATTTAGAGAAAAATATGCAAGTATGATAGAGTTACTTGTTTGTTTATTACAATGGTGTTATTGTTAAACACAAATACCTTGAAATAAATCAGTTTAAATCTTGATACCGTGTCATTCTTTCAAGGTGTATGTATCGTGATATGTATTGTATCGCAGGTAAAATATCGCGATATGTATTGTATCGTGACATAGGGTATCATCCCAGCCCTAATTAGTTATCATAATATCACTTGGTGCAAACTCTCACAGAGTTATGTTGTGAACATTCACTTTTTGTCATGTCACACTAGTGGCATACAGACTTATTTTTGAACAACCTGTCTCTGTACTGCATGGGTGGTAAAAAAATGTACCTTATACATTCATATTTTGAATGGAATCATATTAAGCATACATGGATCAAAATATTAAAAAATTAAATAATGACTAATCTGTAATTCATATTCATCAATTAACTATCGAATACAGTTTTAAATTTGTTTTCCACTGAACTTTCTTCAAGTATGAAAATGAAACTTTGATTAAGAAAATATTTTTTTTATGTTTCTTTACATAGTCATTGCATGGAGTCCAACGGAAATAATGAAAACACTTTAATAGGGAAAAGGACATTTTTACCAACAATATTCCTAATTAGGGGAGGAGGTGAAAAGTATGGAAGAATGTTGTTAGCGTAAGTGAGAGAATATGATAGGGTCACTGCTTCATGTGACTAGACCTGTTACGATTCACCTGTATATTTGGTGAATAGAATCATATACCTCCATGAATTTAATTTATCATTCATGGTCACTGGAATCAAATATTTACAACTATGTTTAAGAGAGTGATTTTCTTAGAACTAGTTTTTAGCCTTGCCTCATTTTGTTTTATAGAAAAGATATAATTTAGAAGTTTCAATTTAATTTTTTTTTAAAATATTCATAAATACATATTTGAATTCGTGAAACATATTGTATTCAGCTCATAGCATATCCGTTGCAACTTGCAGCCCTATAATCATAATGTGACTATCCAAGATGTGGTCACTTCTAAGCGTGGATATCTGAGATAGGGTAATCTGCAAGTGTGTAGCATGATCAACAAGTAGATTGTTATATCATTGCATCCCTTGCATAAACAATTTGCAGAAATGATGGAAAGTGAAAAGACTTTATCAGGGATTTACATGGAGTCCTGCATTTGAGGGTCCCTGGGACTCATACTCTTAATTTTCAGGGGTCCTGGACAACAAAATGGGGGTCCCAGACACTTAAATATTATTATTAGGTCTTCAGACGAAAGTCTGGAAGACCTACTGTTATTATCCGAATATTATTCTTCTTCTTATTATTATTATTTGTACAAATTTTGTGACAGCTCTCCTGACCTAACTGCTCGGCCAATTTTCGTGAAACTTTCGGGGGTGATAGCCTGTATGCTGAAATTGATACATAGTGGAAAAAATCCCGAATTCAGGCTTCCGCTCACCCAAAATGTCGAAATCTTTCAACCTCAATATCTAAAAACTATAAGGGATAAATGGACCAAACTTTCACTCAGTGTAGACAAAACCATTCCCCATCGATTCAACACATACCGGAAGTTGGCCGGCAGGTCAAATTTTGCGCTATTTTGAAAAAACTGAATTTTATTGCCGATTTTCACGTTTTGACGGTGCCTGTGTTTGAAAATCTTCTTCTCCAGAACGGCATATAGAACAATCGTGTTCGATATATCATTTTAAAACCCACACTCTGGACTACTTAAACCCTTCAAGGCATATCGATATCTTGAATAGTTTAAGAGTTATCACCCTTGGAATTTGGTCAATTTTTCTAAGACGCATTTTCATAGGGTTAAAAAAAAGGTCACAACTCTGCGAAAAATCAATGGATTCCATTTTCCTAAGTACCAACCTGTAGGTAATTGAATGGGAAACATTTTTGCTTCACATCATGGTTATGTAAAAATCAATAATTACGTCACCATTACAACACAAAGACAACCTTCGCGATTTTACACATTTCCGCACCTTTTTTGACAGTGCCTGTGTTTAACAATCTTCTTCTCCTGAACGGCAAATGGTACAATAGTGTTCTATATATCGTTTTAAAGCCCCCACTCCGGACTACTGAGTTTGTTCAAGGCATGTCGATATCACAATATTATTATGTAAAAGTCAATAGTTACGCCACAAACAGGGAGGGACATTAGGATTTCGCATTTTTTCAGTTGTGAGATAGCTGGAGGAAGCGTCGTAAAATCTAGCAGCTATCACCGCTTCCTGGTTTTCCAGTGCCCACAGAAATAGTTCCCTCTTTAACAGGCCGTAACTCCATTGTTCTTAGGTCTACAGTTAAAACAATTAGTGTTCTGGAATTGCCAGGATGTGATTTCTCCAGCAGTGTGCTTACCAGCCTGAATGTGACAGGAATACGCTTGACTTTTGGACCACAACAAAATCTGCAATATTTACCAGTAATCTCTTTTAGTATATGTCTGTAGATATTGCTGTATTATTTTGCTTTGTTTGACTGTGTCTTCCTGTTTGTTTTTCTGCAGTTTGTGAATTTTCCGTTTGTGTAAGCAGCATTAAATCAATGCCAAATTAATCTCAAAAACACTGTAATGGGCGCTCCAGCTGGCGTCCAAAGAAACAGTACAAGTAAAGGTAGCCATGGGGAGTGTATGGGGAGGTCTGAAGACTGTCACTATTGCCCAGGAGGCAATCCTAGTTAATACTGTTATTACATTGTGTATCATGATCATCACATTGTCACAGTAATTAAATTGCAAATAATACTATAACCCAGCTAGTAGCAAACTCAGTGATAACTTACTGTCACTTGATTGGAATTTTTGTAAAAAATATTTCAACTTCTGAGTCCCAGTGGACGCGCCAATAAATTTTGTTGCGTCCATTGTCAATTTTTATGCGTATAGGACATGTAGGAATTCACGTCCTGTAAATCCCTGCTTTATATAAGACTACATAACTGAAACTCACTGGCAATGTTTTTGAGGAATTCATGAACAACTTCTAATTGACATCCTAAATTGTTATGCTCAGCAGTAACTTGTGTGTAGCAATTTTATATTTTTTCGAACTTCTATCCTATTATGCACAATCACATTGTCGAATACAGAATACTGTTAACATATAGATTTACCTCCCTTGATTTTACCAGCCAGGTTTGTTAGTTATGATTACAGTAGGTTTACATCAACTTTGGCTGCAGTAACCATCACATTTACATGAACATTCTGCTAAGAGAAAGTTGAATTTATGACATACACCATCATTTGGCATGATCACAACAACCACCACAACCAAGGAGATCAAGTGCGATGTTGTTGTCATGTCCGTGAACCTCCAAATGTTGAATGTTTTATAAATGATTCAGATTTATCATTGTACACTGTAGCACCACTGATTTACTGTCATTCAAAATATTGCCGATATTGTTGTTGACCACAAAGAAGAATGCCACATCAAGAATTGATAAAATCACGACTGACAATTTATAATGCTCTTTCTATCTCATGGACTATCACGGGATATTCATTTATTGTGTTACATAGTGCATTTCCATTGTCTGAAGACAAGATACTTCTTTCCGACGAAAGCTTACAAATGAAATGACAATTCGAATCTTCCTTGGTAGAGTGACAAATTCCTGCAATAATATCCAAATATCTGAAACATTTTCAAATTTGTAAACAACAAAAGATTGAGAGCGCCAAATTTCAAGATCAATATATTTACCCTGATGAGAGGATACGTGTGTACTCTCTTTGAATCAGTGTCTGCTTTCTTCTCTTCTGTTTGTTCTGCCATCTTTCAAGGTATCGAAAATGAAGCGATAACACCGGCAAACGCTCAAATAATGTGTGGAAATGTTAGCCTCAGTTGCCTTCCGCTACTGGTAACTAGGTAACAGTGCGCATGCGTAACGGAAGTACTACCAAATCTTTCTAAACACTACTACTCAGCAACAACAATTTCTCTTATAGTGCATTATCGTTTTTTCTCCACTCTCTTATCAATACCAAGTTTACAATTCATATTTAAACACGTATATATATTCTATGGTACATAGATAACACAGAATCCAAAGGTTGGCAAAAAAGAAATGTATATATAATAAATATATAATATGTTTCAAGGAAAACTATGTCTTTAATACTTGCGGAAGCGGATGTATCAGCAAACATGTGCTTGTGTTTACAAAATTAAATGATTGAAGACTCTTTCATAAATGTCCCTGTTTTATGAAAAATGAACGATCTACAACGACAACCTTTGCAGTCGGAGATCCGACGTATAGCTCGGGAAATCGAGAACGGGTTGTCATGTGACAAAGTTAATCAGAATTATGTCGAAATGTTGATGAAATTTAAAGAATTTGTATGTGATGTAGAATTTTCGCGTTTAAAACACATTGAGGGCATTGCTAGTTCAGATTTAGCAAGAGCTAAACGTGTCTTTCGACAGTTTCACTATTCGAGATGTTGCAGTCGCCTGCTGAATTCCCTGTCCGTTGAAGTAGTATCCAAGTATTCGAAAGCAAACGTACAATCATTAGAGAGGATCTTCATGGATGGACCTGCTACTCAAGCTATAACAGTTTTGTGTACAACTATTTCTAAATCGGGGTAATATATGTGTTTTAAATGTCATTGTCTATATGTATACGAATGCTGGTATACAGTTTGCCCAAATGAAAACTGAAATGTAATTAATCCATGCATGATCTCTTCATGACCTCTATTAGGTGGTCAAGTTCGCTCACACGATTTTTGATGCATGTTGTCATATTCCAGTAATGTGGATAAATGCTTGTGATGTCAATCACTGAACTGTCTTGTCAAAACTGAGTTATTTACAAGACCATCCATCATTACCTGAAATATATTGCAAAGTTCAGTGCACAGCGACAAACACAAAGAACTGGGTGTCACAAACAGTCCATCATTGTCCATGATAAATGCTACTTATATCAAAGTAATGTTTGTAGTATTTTTGACTTTTCAAATAGTATGTTCATATAGACCTCTGATTGAAAACAATTTTCCATATGTCCTTATATATCAGACGGACCTTTTTCTGCAACAAACTTTGAATGAAGATAGGCAAACCAACATTGTTACATTTCTTAATTGTGACAGTAAACATTATTGTAAGAAAATGTATTGAAACTAAACTAATGGTGTTTAGATACAGATGACAAAGCTATGTGTAAGTTTGCAACAGAGAATCCACAATCAATTTGTCATACCAGACAGTTTGAATGTGTATTTTAATGAGGCTATGTTGTAACAGATCAACTAGAGTAAGCAAATTAATGTCTGTATTTGTGTGCGGCGCCACTGTAAAGACTGTTTATAACAATGTATCAGTGTTAGTATTTTTGAATACAGGTCCACTGTAACCAATCGAGCTGCAGCAGTCAGATGGCACAAAAATGCTTGTTTGGTTTGACATAGTTCTTTCTATTTTCAGGCTTGGTTTTAAACTTCATAAGTGTGTGTCTTTGTTGGAAACATTGTTGACTGAGCATAAGCTGGCAGAGATATTCTGGGAACAGTCTGTACTCCCTCTGCCTGAATATAATGACCTGCAGCTACAGGATCAGCTGACAACCACCATTGTGTCTCTACCAGAAACTGTCACCAACAAACTCCAGAAGGAAACAGGGTCCGTTTCATACGTTGTAGTTCACCTTTTGTCTGACAATTTTGACATCTCTGAACCAATACACATAGAATAAAGTATCACCATATTTGTCATATTATCACTATCAGTATGCTACCATTAACCATAGCAAAGGAACTTATCCAAACCTTAATTTACCTTACCTTGCTATTTGGATAAACTGAAATATTTAAATGGCAAATCTAAACGTAAAAAGAAGAAAATACTGTAGTTTATTCAGTTCTTCATGGCAATATCAGGTGTAATCTCCCAAAACTGTATTAATATCCCTAAACCCTTTTCCTCATTGACTGTATTATGCATTATACTTGGCGATAAGGTATTGCATTCTTGATGGAGGGCTTGTTCCAACACCTCAAGACTTTGTACTGGAGGATCTCTCTGGCATATTCTGTGACCCATAGTGTCCCAAACATGCTCTGTAAATGCATCCATCAATAAACCCTGGCTAAATTGTACTTGCTCCAAGCCATTCCATTGTGAATATGTACCGTTATCTACAGTCTCAAAAACATGCTCGGCCATCAGTCAGGGCAGAATTGGTCTTCAGCAAGCCATGCCTGTCATAAGAGGTCACTTAATCTATTGGGTGGTCGAGCTCACTTTCCCTTGTGCATGTGTCATCATGTCCAAATTGCGTAAATCATTGCATGCTGTTGATAACTGGATTGTCTGGACCAGACTCAATTATTTACAGACCACCACTATATAGCTAGAATACTGCTGAGAGTGATGTTAAGCAACAAATAACCCCCCCCAAAAATGAAACAAAACCAATGTTAGTGCCATGTCCAGCAAAGATCAGTGTCCTTCTGCATCGTTTATTGCCTCTACCTGATGCTCACCATTGTCTAAAGCTAGTAATCATCTTGATTATGTTGATTGAGATGATGGTCTGCAGTTTTGGTGTTGAACTGAAAGTACATGATAGTATGTTTAGACTTTCAGCATTGACGAAATGGTGAAGGCAGGACATGTCCATTTTGATGTACTTATCAACAGTGTAAAATACTGCATTTCTTATGTTCCAGTGAAATGTTTTACCCTCAAAGTTACGTGCCGCTGGTGTGTGGAGACATCTACAGGACTCTGGAGAAGGCACGAGGGTGTCTTGTTGCCGGTAGCGATTGTTCCTTGGAGTTTGTCAGCAAGGTGCTGGGGAGATTGGCACTTGCGGGGCATGCAGGTGAGAAGAGTTGAAATAGGGGATTTCCAGGAATATCTATGTGGGGACAAGTATGACTGTCAACAGTGGGACTAACAATAAAATAAAGATTCCAGTGTCGTGGAAACAGGAGCAAGTGTCAGTAGACAGATAATGACATTAGCTTCATAACAGAATACTTGTTACATTGCAATATCCAACCAACTGGGCAACATAGCTTTAAATAGTGTTGGCACTAAAACAGTGAATGGGCAATTTCTTGCTGTGACTTGATTTTAACTCAATATATTTTCAGATCGTGTTTGGGGATGCTTGCTACCGCTGCTATACCCAAAAGTACACTCAGATTACATCTGGTGCCGGGTATGTGAGAGAATCATCACTGGGGTTCCAACACGATGTTTAGAAAGTGCGCTCACTCCCTTCCTCAAACAACTACCTTGGTATGTATGAATCCCTTCCAGAAACAACCACCTTGATAAGTAGGACTCCCTTCTTGAAACAACCACCTTGATAAGTAGGACTCCCTTCCTGAAACAACCACCTTGATAAGTAGGACTCCCTTCCTGAAACATCCACCTTGAGAAGTAGGACTCCCTTCCTGAAACATCCACCTTGATATGTCATACTCCCTTCCAGAAACAACGACTTTGATAAGTAGGACTCCCTTCCTGAAACATCCAACTTGATATGTCAGACTCCCTTCCGGACTCAACCACCTTGATAAGTAGGACTCCCTTCATGAAACATCCACCTTGATATGTAGGACTCCCTTCCTGAAACATCCACCTTGATATGTCGGACTCCCTTCCTGAAACATCCACCTTGGTATGTAGGACTCCCTTCCTGAAACAACTACCATGGTATGTAGGACTCCCTTCCTGAAACATCCACCTTGATATGTCAGACTCCCTTCCTGAAACATCCACCTTCATATGTAGGACTCCCTTCCAGAAACAACCACCATGGTATGTCGGACACCCTTCCTGAAACATCCACCTTGATAAGTAGGACTCCCTTCTTGAAACGACCACCTTGATAAGTAGGACTCCCTTCCTGAAACATCCACCTTGATAAGTAGGACTCCCTTCCTGAAACATCCACCTTGATATGTAGGACTCCCTTCCAGAAACATCCACCTTGATATGTCGGACTCCCTTCCTGAAACATCCACCTTGATAAGTAGGACTCCCTTCCTGAAACAACCACCATGATATGTAGGACTCCCTTTCTGAAACATCCACCTTGATAAGTAGGACTCCCTTCCTGAAACAACCACCTTGATATGTCGGACTCCCTTCCTGAAACATCCACCTTGATATGTAGGACTCCCTTCCAGAAACAACCACCTTGATAAATAGGACTCCCTTCCTGAAACAACCACCATGGTATGTCGGACTGCCTTCCTGAAACAACCACCATGATATGTCGGACTCCCTTCCTGAAACATCCACCTTCATATGTCGGACTCCCTTCCTGAAACAACCACCATGGTATGTCGGACTCCCTTCCAGAAACATCCACCTTGATATGTAGGGCTCCCTTCCTGAAACAACCACCTTGGTATGTAGGACTCCCTTCCTGAAACAACCACCATGGTATGTCGGACTCCCTTCCTGAAACATCCACCTTGATATGTAGGACTCCCTTCCAGAAACAGCCACCTTGATAAGTAGGACTCCCTTCCTGAAACAACCGCCATGGTATGTCGGACTCCCTTCCTGAAACAACCACCATGATATGTCAGACTCCCTTCCTGAAACATCCACCTTGATAAGTAGGACTCCCTTCCTGAAACAACCACCTTGGTATGTAGGACTCCCTTCCTGAAACAACCACCTTGTTATGTATTACACCTGAATTTTTGGAGGAATCAGAAGGTTAGATTTAAATATTGACCTATCAGCGAAAATATTTACCTAGGTAAAATTCCATTTTGTTCTCATGGTTTGGCATTATTGTTGAGACTTCCAGGAGAATAGAATCACTGCTAGGTGAACTGAGCATAATAGTAATGTGAGACTTCATGTTGAAGCTTCAGTATTTTCCTTTCAGGTATGGTTTAGCTGGGAAGTTCCTTGGTGATAGCATTGTGAAGAACCTCACTATACAGAACTTGCTGTGTACAAAGTTACTATTTCACAGACACTTTCACCAGGTATGCCAGTGCATCACCATCCTTCTTACATGTCAGACAGATATATCCATGCATCACCATTCTTTTTACAGGTCAGACAGATATATCCAGGCATCACAATCCTTCTTCCAGGTCAGACAGATATATCCATGCATCACCATCCTTTTTACAGGTCAGACAGATATGTCCATGCATCATCATCTTTCTTAAATGTCAGACAGATCTATACATGCATCACCATCCTTCTTACATGTCAGACAGATATATCCATGCATCACCATCCTTCTTACATGTCAGACAGATATATCCATGCTTCACCATCCTTCTTACAGGTCAGACAGATATATCCATGCATCACCATTCTTCTTACATGTCAGACAGATATATCCATGCATCATCATCCTTCTTACATGTCAGACAGATATATCCATGCTTCACCATCCTTCTTACAGGTCAGACAGATATATCCATGCATCACCATTCTTCTTACATGTCAGACAGATATATCCATGCATCACCATCCTTTTTACAGGTCAGACAGATATATCCATGCATCATCATCCTTCTTACATGTCAGACAGATATGTCCATGCATCACCATCCTTCTTACATGTCAGACAGATATATCCATGCATCACCATCCTTCTTACATGTCAGACAGATATATCCATGCTTCATCTCACCTCTTCCAGGTCAGACAGGTATATCCATGCATCACCACCCTTCTTCCAGGTCAGACAGATATGTCCATGCATCACCACCCTTCTTCCAGGTCAGACAGATATCTCCAGGCATCACCATCCTTCTTCCAGGTCAGACAGATATCTCCATGCATCACCATCCCTCTTCCAGGTCAGACAGATATATCCATGCATCACCATTCTTCTTCCAGGTCAGACAGATATATCCATGCATCACCGTCCTTCTTCCAGGTCAGACAGATATATCCATGCATCACCATCCTTCTTACATATCAGACAGATATATCCATGCATCACCATCCTTCTTACATGTCAGACAGATATATCCATGCATCACCATCCTTCTTCCAGGTCAGACAGATATGTCCATGCATCACCATCCTTCTTCCAGGTCAGACAGATATATCCATGCATCACCATCCTTCTTACAGGAGCTCATATCATTCCTGTGACTCACATAAACACATCTGCTCACTTGTTCTCTGAAACAAATTTGTCAATTTATTTAAAAAGTTTGGCTATTCTCCTCTATCTGTAATGGGTAAATCTACAGGCACTAAAGGTATCTCCTCTCCCCTCTTGGGCACAAAAATTGTTCAGCCTGTGGAAACACTTCTTGCTGCATTAGGTGAGTTATATCCAGTCAACTCTATTTTCACAATTGGGTGGACAAGATAAAGACAGGAAGTGACATCATCATGACATCATCAGAAGTACTGTTAAACATTTGAAGTGAAGGCCCAAACATCCATCCCCCAGAAATCCCTTCCTTAAAAAATATCCCTTTCTTAAAAAATATGAGGTATTCCCTGCATTTCCCTCAGAGGAGATAACTCTTTTGGAAAGCGCTGGAGGACCACTAGGAAGAAAGACTACACAAAACCTTAGACTTAATTGTTTTTAGCAATCTATATCTGTGGATTCAGAAACAAGTTCCAGGAAAAATGGCAATCAAGTGTTAGAGGTAGTATTCTAAGAATTATCATTAATGCTGATAATGTTCAAAATCACCATCATTCTTACAGTTCATACTTTAACACTGACACTGTTACCACAGTTACACCCATACTTACTTTACACCATCTCACTGTCTGTCCCTTTACTTAAATACCGCTTGCCTATTGCCGCTTACCACATACAGGGATTTTGTATGGGTTTTTGACGATGAGCCATACTTTTCGCTCCGCATTGCAAGGGAGAGTTTCATGTGACCATCTGGCTTCCTATTTATATATTGCCTGTCACTAGCAGATGACTGATCTTGCTGAATTTTCGCTTGCTATTTTTTTATTATAAAGGTAATTGATTTTGCATCTGAAGTGGTATTAACTATCTCGGGTAAATATTACTGATGTTTGTTTGCTTTTTATATAACTTAACTTACGGATTTCAATTGTCAATAAAACTTCTCACGATAGTGACTGGGCATCCGCCCTGCTGATGAAACTGCTTGAGCCCTCTGATCATGCTCATACTCCCCCCGATATAGTGCGAGCAATGCAATCAGCGAAATCACCAGAACGTCAAATTCAGCTCGTGTTGGGATAGTATCATGAGTTTATGTTTTTCAGATTCTTGTAGTGCAGAATATCATAGGCTACCTGGCAACCTCACATACGAGACGGAAACTCTATTTAAAGGTATACATATCATACATAGTATGTTCTTAAGAATAAAGAAGAAGGGCTTCAGTTAATAACAAAGGGGTGGGACTTTTACAAGATGAATCGAAATGTCTGCTGAGGAACACTGTGTATCTTGTCAGAAGAATTTCCAGTACAATTGTAACAGTAGTTCTTACACCAAATATGGCAAATAGACAGGTATTGTTGTGAACTGGGGTTTTTTATAGTTAGGGATATTTAAAAATTATATTTTGGGGGTTTCCACTGAAACAACTTTATACTTAAAGTCTGTTTGAGACAAAATGATACCAATGAATTGCAATCTAACACAAAAACAAATCGACATAAAGAATCAAACCAACACAGACTGCAATAAAAACAACAGACCAACTCTAGAAAAAAATTGCATAATTTGTGTCACAAAAATAAAAAAGTTGTTTAAGAAACTGTCATCATTTATTTGTGCATTTTCCAAGTTTGTTACAAGGGCGCATTGGCAACTAAAGGAATAGCGCGAAAAAGCAAGATGCATGTGCATTACTGACATCAGAGACATGTGATTACTGCTGATTGACAAAGTGAGAGAAAATGAAAGTCTATAATTTACAAAGTCTATGATTTCTTCAAGGATGAAAATGACAGGAGCTGACCCAAGAATGCAATTACTAAGTACATACAGCGCACTGCCTGTGCAGCTTGGGTACGTGTCATTTCGCCAGCTCAAAAGTTTGTTGAGAACCTGTTAACGCACGTGCATCTCGCTTTCCGCGCTATTCCTTTAGTTGCCAATGCGCCCTTGTAACAAACTTGGAAAACACACAAATAAATGATGACAGTTTCTTAAACAACTTTTTTAATTTTTTGACAAAAATTATGCAATATTTTTTAGAGTTGGCCTGTTGTTTTTATTGCAGTCTGCGTTGGTTTGATTCTTTTATGTTTATTTGTTTTTGTGTTAGATTGCAATTCATCGGTATCAGTTTGTCTCAAACGGACTGTAGACAGGAAACGGCAGTGGTCTTAATTTCCACAATTACCTTACAGTATTGTCTTTTCCATAGATGTTGATAAAACATTTATGTCGTCAAAAAGGAAATTACTCCCCAAATAGCATTACATATGACATGCAATAAGTATAATGTATTGGTGTATTCAGGACAAGTGTTTGCAATTGCAGGGGATATCGGTGTCCTCTTGATATTCTTAATGTACACCAGTGTCAGCATACACTAGGTAGTGTATCACATGTTGGTGTTGTCTACCTGTGCAGGTGTTACTATCCCTGCTGGAGGTGTGAGGGGATGCCAGTAGTATCAAGCACACATCGTACTAGGCAGTGTATCACATGTTGGTGTTGTCTACCTGTGCAGGTGTTACTATCCCTGCTGGAGGTGTGAGGGGATGCCAGTAGTATCAAGCACACATCGTACTAGGCAGTGTATCACATGTTGGTGTTGTCTACCTGTGCAGGTGTTACTATCCCTGCTGGAAGTGTGAGGGGATGCCAGTAGCATCAAGCACACATCGTACTAGGCAGTGTATCACATGTTGGTGTTGTCTACCTGTGCAGGTGTTACTATCCCTGCTGGAGGTGTGAGGGGATGCCAGTAGCATCAAGCACACATCGTACTAGGCAGTGTATAGGCAGTGTATCACATGTTGGTGTTGTCTACCTGTGCAGGTGTTACTATCCCTGCTGGAAGTGTGAGGGGATGCCAGTAGCATCAAGCACACACATCGTACTAGGCAGTGTATCACATGTTGGTGTTGGTCTACCTGTGCAGGTGTTCTACCTGCTGCAGGTGTTACTATCCCATGTTGGTGTTGCTGGACTATCCCTGTGTGAGGGGATGCCAGTAGTCAAGCATCAACCTGTGCAGGTGCAGCACAGCACACATCGTCTAGGCAGTGTATCACATGTTGGTGTTGTCTACCTGTGCAGGTGTTACTATCCCTGCTGGAAGTGTGAGATGCAGTGTATCACATGTTGGTGTTGTTGGTGTTGTCTACCTGTGCAGGTGTTACTATCCCTGCTGGAAGTGTGAGGGGATGCCAGTAGTATCAAGCACACATCGTACTAGGCAGTGTATCACATGTTGGTGTTGTCTACCTGTGCAGGTGTTACTATCCCTGCTGGAGGTGTGAGGGGATGCCAGTAGTATCAAGCACACATCGTACTAGGCAGTGTATCACATGTTGGTGTTGTCTACCTGTGCAGGTGTTACTATCCCTGCTGGAAGTGTGAGGGGATGCCAGTAGCATCAAGCACACATCGTATCCCTAGGCAGTGTATCACATGTTGGTGTTGTCTACCTGTGCAGGTGTTACTATCCCTGCTGGAAGTGTGAGGGGATGCCAGTAGTATCAAGCACACATCGTGTTACTAGGCAGTGTATCACATGTTGGTGTTGTCTACCTGTGCAGGTGTTACTATCCCTGCTGGAGGTGTGAGGGATGCCAGTAGTATCAAGCACACACATCGCACTAGGCAGTGTATCACATGTTGGTGTTGTCTACCTGTGCAGGTGTTACTATCCCTGCTGGAAGTGTGAGGGGATGCCAGTCAAGCACACATCAAGCACACAGCGTGCACTAGGCAGTGTATCACATGTTGGTGTTGTCTACCTGTGCAGGTGTTACTATCCCTGCTGGAAGTGTGAGGGGATGCCAGTAGTATCAAGCACACATCGTACTAGGCAGTGTATCACATGTTGGTGTTGTCTACCTGTGCAGGTGTTACTATCCCTGCTGGAAGTGTGGGGGGATGCCAGGGATGCCAGGCAGTGTATCAATGTTGGTGTTGTCTACCTGTGCAGGTGTTACTATCCCTGCTGGAAGTGTGGGGGATGCCACATCGCAGTGTATCACATGTTGGTGTTGTTGTCTACCTGTGCAGGTGTTAGTACGAGCAACACCACTACATCTCCCAGGCAGTCCTCATCTGTGTGGGACATCTCAACCTCCAGGAGAAGGAAACATACAAGGATGGTAAGTTAACAATGCCAGGCCATCTCCAGAATCAAACAAGACTACCCTTGGGCTATAGGCATAACTTCCTTTTTAAATCATCTCAGTGCAATAGTTAAACGAGCCATCTGTATAGATTCTTTTAGTTTGTACAGACAATTTGCCTGAAGAAAACAATAGAATTCTATTTCATTGTGAAAATAATGACATTTACAAACTATCCAAGTATTACTCCTGCTTGTGGTCTTGTCAGGCCTTGCAGTTACACTGTGAATGTTTGTAATGCAAGAATATTATTTTTTCATAAAAAGAAAATGTTATATACTCTTTGCAATTTCACATTTTGTAGTTATGACACATCCGGTTTACATATTTAATTTAAATAATACGTTTGAAAAAAAAGAAAAACCGGGAAACATGGTTCTGTGTGACCCAGTTATCTAAGACATAAACATTCCTTGTACAGAGCTAGGAAATGGGCCTCCGTGTTGTTAGTAATGTTACTCTGTTTTTCTGTTTTGGAGGGCATTTCATCCATCATTTGTATGTAAATTACATTATTTCAGAGCTTGTGCGTCTCCTGATGCCTGGAGTGTCGTGTCATATCGGCCACTCTGACCCGAAGATGAGGAGGCTAGGCATGAAAGTGGCTGAGGTCCTGACCCGCCATGTGGATCCAGGGGGACCACAGCTCAACTTCCAGGTCAGTCAGGTTATGGAAGATTTCAGCAGAGTGATCTCAGTGTATAATAATGGTTTGCCCTCTGAAATATTAATGATAAAGCATATGGCTTTATGGATAATGACTTCTTGTTTATTGCACTGAGTGATGTTTTGGGGAAGATGCTTACACTGTTTTCAAGCTAAAAGAGTAATATTCTTACTGTATCTCATCACATTCTACAGTGTTCTATACATTTTCACTCACGCTGAAGACCCGGGTTCGAATCCCCACATGGGTACAGGATGTGAAGCCCATTTCTGGTGTCCCCCGCCGTGATGTTGCTGGAATATTGCTAAAAGCGGCGTAAAAACAAACTCAATCACTCACTCACTCACTATATATATATTTTAACATCCCTCCCTCAGATAGCATGTCTAAGATGACTCACTCCACTGTAGGCTTCTGTCTTTTCTGTACTTTAAGTGAGTATTTTGTGTGAGTGTTTGTTTTTTTACATTACTAGTCCGAGAGTGATGCCGAGATTGCTGTGGAGATTGATGCGTTACTGGTGGCAACCGCTATACCTGAGGAACCTAGTATAGAGGCACTGGACAGGTGATGTTCATTTATTGTCTCCCTTTGTTTAAATCCACAGGTAATTTGGGATTGAGAGAACTGTGTGAATGGATGGTACTATTGGTAGGGTTGCTGTAGGTTTGGTGAAATGCTTGCCCTGTACATCTAGAGGATGTCTCTAGCACACAGCATTCTCAGAAAGCAGTGAAAGTCTTACAGCATTTTTGTTGTTTGTCTTGATGGAGACATGGAGAATTTATATCTGCCACTTGATAACTAAGATTACAGAAAGGCTGACTCCAATCACCAATCTAGGCATACCATATATACTGAAGGTAAACCTTGAAGCAAATCCAAGTTCAAACTGGCTACATTTAGCTGTCATATGAGAAATAAAAAATGCCCTTCAGTGCAACAGTTTGATCTGTGCTTGTAGGTTCCTGGGCACCCTACCCATACTTGAATGGGTTCCTGGGCACCCTACCCGTGCTTGTATGTTCCTGGGCATCCTACCTGTGCTTGTAGGTTCCTGGGCATCCTACCCATGCTTGTAGGTTCCTGGGCACCCTACCCATGCTTGTAGGTTCCTGGGCATCCTACCCATGCTTGTAGGTTCCTGGGCATCCTACCCATGCTTGTAGGTTCCTGGGCATCCTACCCATGCTTGTAGGTTCCTGGGCATCCTACCCGTGCTTGTAGGTTCCTGGGCACCCTACCCATGCTTGTAGGTTCCTGGGCATCCTACCCATGCTTGTAGGTTCCTGGGCTTCCTACCCGTGCTTGTAGGTTCCTGGGCATCCTACCCATGCTTGTAGGTTCCTGGGCATCCTACCCATGCTTGTAGGTTCCTGGGCACCCTACCCATGCTTGTAGGTTCCTGGGCATCCCTACCCATGCTTGTAGGTTCCTGGGCATCCCACCCATGCTTGTAGGTTCCTGGGCACCCTACCCATGCTTGTAGGTTCCTGGGCATCCTACCACCTGTGCTTGTAGGTTCCTGGGCACCCTACCCATGCTTGTAGGTTCCTGGGCACCCTACCCATGCTTGTAGGTTCCTGGGCATCCTACCCATGCTTGTAGGTTCCTGGGCATCCTACCCATGCTTGTAGGTTCCTGGGCATCCTACCCGTGCTTGTAGGTTCCTGGGCACCCTACCCATGCTTGTAGGTTCCTGGGCATCCTACCCATGCTTGTAGGTTCCTGGGCATCCTACCCATGCTTGTAGGTTCCTGGGCACCCTACCCATGCTTGTAGGTTCCTGGGCATCCTACCCATGCTTTGTAGGTTCCTGGGCATCCTACCCGCCATGCTTGTAGGTTCCTGGGCATCCTACCCCATGCTTGTAGGTTCCTGGGCATCCTACCCATGCTTGTAGGTTCCTGGGCATCCTACCCATGCTTGTAGGTTCCTGGGCATCCCACCCATGCTTGTAGGTTCCTGGGCACCCTACCCATGCTTGTAGGTTCCTGGGCATCCCTACCCATGCTTGTAGGTTCCTGGGCATCCTACCCATGCTTGTAGGTTCCTGGGCATCCTACCCATGCTTGTAGGTTCCTGGGCATCCTACCCATGCTTGTAGGTTCCTGGGCACCCTACCCATGCTTGTAGGTTCCTGGGCATCCTACCCATGCTTGTAGGTTCCTGGGCATCCTACCCATGCTTGTAGGTTCCTGGGCATCCTACCCATGCTTGTAGGTTCCTGGGCATCCTACCCATGCTTGTAGGTTCCTGGGCATCCTACCCATGCTTGTAGGTTCCTGGGCCCCATCCCTACCCATGCTTGTAGGTTCCTGGGCATCCTACCCACGTGCTTGTAGGTTCCTGGGCACCCTACCCATGCTTGTAGGTTCCTGGGCACCCTACCCATGCTTGTAGGTTCCTGGGCATCCTACCCTGCTTGTAGGTTCCTGGGCACCCTACCCATGCTTGTAGGTTCCTGGGCACCCTACCCGTGCTTGTAGGTTCCTGGGCATCCTACCCATGCTTGTAGGTTCCTGGGCACCCTACCCATGCTTGTAGGTTCCTGGGCATCCTACCCATGCTTGTAGGTTCCTGGGCATCCTACCCATGCTTGTAGGTTCCTGGGCACCCTACCCATGCTTGTAGGTTCCTGGGCATCCTACCCGTGCTTGTAGGTTCCTGGGCATCCTACCCATGCTTGTAGGTTCCTGGGCATCCTACCCATGCTTGTAGGTTCCTGGGCATCCTACCCATGCTTGTAGGTTCCTGGGCATCCTACCCATGCTTGTAGGTTCCTGGGCATCCTACCCGTGCTTGTAGGTTCCTGGGCACCCTACCCATGCTTGTAGGTTCCTGGGCACCCTACACGTGCTGGTGGTGGTAGTGGTGGTGGTGGAATTGTGTTTACCGTCGTGCTTGTAGGTTCCTGGGCATCCCTGACATATGTGCTGCTGCTTGTACTAGCCCATCTGAAGCTTGTTTTATAGTGCTAGCCCACTGTGATACCATGCTTGTAGGTTCCTGGGCATCCCACTCAGACATATGTAGGTTCCTGGACTCCTACCCATGCCAGGTCCTTGATGTACCCATTAACCTGCGCCAGGCAGGGACCCAAGTACCATTTTTTGCGTCTTTTGGTTCCTGGGCAGTCGGGATCTTGTCCGCGGTTCCTGGGCACCCTCGAGGCTTGCTCCTGGGCAACCACTACACCATGGACCCCACACGTGCTTGTAGGTTCCTGGGCACCCTACCCATGCTTGTAGGTTCCTGGGCACCCTACACGCGTGCTTGTATGTTCCTGAGCACCCTACCCGTGTTTGTAGGTTCCTCGGCACCCTACACGTGCTTGTTAGTTGTAGGTTCCTGGGCACCCTTCCCGTGCTTATAGGTTCCTGGGCACCCTACCCATGCTTGTAGGTTCCTGGGCACCCTACCCATGCTTGTAGGTTCCTGGGCATCCTACCCATGCTTGTAGGTTCCTGGGCATCCTACCCATGCTTGTAGGTTCCTGGGCATCCTACCCATGCTTGTAGGTTCCTGGATACCCTACCCATGCTTGTAGGTTCCTGGGCATCCTACCCGTGCTTGTAAGTTCCTGGGCATCCTACCCATGCTTGTAGGTTCCTGGGCATCCTACCCATGCTTGTAAGTTCCTGGGCATCCTACCCGTGCTTGTAGGTTCCTGGGCATCCTACCCATGCTTGTAAGTTCCTGGGCATCCTACCCATGCTTGTAGGTTCCTGGGCATCCTACCCATGCTTGTAAGTTCCTGGGCATCCTACCCATGCTTGTAGGTTCCTGGGCATCCTACCCGTGCTTGTAAGTTCCTGGGCATCCTACCCATGCTTGTAGGTTCCTGGGCATCCTACCCATGCTTGTAAGTTCCTGGGCATCCTACCCGTGCTTGTAAGTTCCTGGGCACCCTACCCATGCTTGTAGGTTCCTGGGCATCCTACCCATGCTTGTAGATTCCTGGGCATCCTACCCATGCTTGTAGGTTCCTGGGCATCCTACCCATGCTTGTAGGTTCCTGGGCATCCTACCCATGCTTGTAGGTTCCTGGGCATCCTGCCCGTGCTTGGAGGTTCCTGGGCATCCTACCCATGCTTGTAGGTTCCTGGGCATCCTACCCATGCTTGTAGGTTCCTGGGCATCCTACCCATGCTTGTAGGTTCCTGGGCACCCTACCCATGCTTGTAGGTTCCTGGGCACCCTACCCATGCTTGTAGGTTCCTGGGCATCCTACTCGTGCTTGTAGGTTCCTGGGCATCCTACCCATGCTTGTAGGTTCCTGGGCACCCTAACCGTGCTTGTAGGTTCCTGGGCACCCTACACATGTGTGTAGGTTCCTGGGCACCCTACCCATGCTTGTAGGTTCCTGGGCATCCTACCCGTGCTTGTAGGTTCCTGGGCACCCTACCCATGCTTGTAGGTTCCTGGGCATCCTACTCATGCTTGTAGGTTCCTGGGCATCCTACCCGTGCTTGTAGGTTCCTGGGCATCCTACCCGTGCTTGTAGGTTCCTGGGCATCCTACCCATGCTTGTAGGTTCCTGGGCACCCTACAAGTGCTTGTAGGTTCCTGGGCATCCTGTCCGTGCTTGTAGGTTCCTTGGCATCCTACCCATGCTTGTAGGTTCCTGGGCACCCTACCCTTACTTGTAGGTTCCTGGGCATCCTACCCGTGCTTGTAGGTTCCTGGGCACCCTACCCATGCTTGTAGGTTCCTGGGCACCCTACCCATGCTTGTAGGTTCCTGGAGCATCCTACTCGTGCTTGTAGGTTCCTGGGCATCCTACCCATGCTTGTAGGTTCCTGGGCACCCTAACCGTGCTTGTAGGTTCCTGGGCACCCTACACATGTGTGTAGGTTCCTGGGCACCCTACCCATGCTTGTAGGTTCCTGGGCATCCTACCCGTGCTTGTAGGTTCCTGGGCACCCTACCCATGCTTGTAGGTTCCTGGGCATCCTACTCATGCTTGTAGGTTCCTGGGCATCCTACCCGTGCTTGTAGGTTCCTGGGCATCCTACCCGTGCTTGTAGGTTCCTGGGCATCCTACCCATGCTTGTAGGTTCCTGGACATCCTACCCGTGCATGTAGGTTCCTGGGCATCCTACCCATGCTTGTAGGTTCCTGGGCACCCTACCCATGCTTGTAGGTTCCTGGGCATCCTACCCGTGCTTGTAGGTTCCTGGGCACCCTACCCATCCTTGTAGGTTCCTGGGCACCTACCCGTGCTTGTAGGTTCCTGGGCATCCTACCCATGCTTGTAGGTTCCTGGGCATCCTACCCTGCTTGTAGGTTCCTGGGCATCCCCTAAGGTTGCTTGTAGGTTCCTGTAGCATCCTACCCCCATGCTTGTAGGTTCCTGGGCATCCTACCCGTGTTTGTAGGTTCCTGGGCACCCTACCCAAGCTTGTAGGTTCCTGGGCACCCTACCCTTGTAGGCTTGTAGGTTCCTGGGTTCCACCCTACCCGTGCTTGTAGGTTCCTGGGCACCCTACCCGTGCTTGTAGGTTCCTGGGCACCCCACCTGTGCTTGTAGGTTCCTGGGCATCCTACCCATGCTTGTAGGTTCCTGGGCACCCTTAGGTTCTGGGCTTGTAGGTTCCTGGGCATCCCACCGTGCTTGTAGGTTCCTGGTCATCCTACCCGTGTTTGTAGGTTCCTGGGCACCCTACCCGTGCTTGTAGGTTCCTGGGCATCCTACCGTGCTTGTAGGTTCCTGGGCACCCTACCCATGCTTGTAGGTTCCTGGACACCCTACCCATGCTTGTAGGTTCCTGGGCACCCTACCCGTGCTTGTAGGTTCACGAAAGTGGTTAACATCTAAGCCCTTCATCACTATGTGCTGTATGTCCACATCAGCCGGACACACCATGATATAACTGAATACTGATCAAAGTGGCAGTAAACACAACTCATTCTTCTTGTGTACAGTCCCAAATCCCACTAACTAATTAGAATTGAAGGTTATATGACTGGCAAGATCAGCTGTGTTTGAATGATACCATTTACTTTTCTGGCAAACATATTCCTCTCACTTTTCTTGTGATCTCTCTCTAGCATGAAATGTAAAAAATACAGCGTATTCTGATAAGACAGGTCAGCTCGTTCCACTGGTATTGTTACACTCTCAAATACGTATGAACCTGTCACTGTTGTTACTGTTACTGTTCTGTCATTGCTTGTATGGGCAGTTCATCATCAAAAGGTTAAACAAGGTTGGCATCTTCAAGTGTAGCTTATACTGAGAACATTGCCAGCATATGCCATGTATGGATGTCAGCTGTGTCTCATGTCTACAGTTTGGTCAGGCTTGTTATGAGGCACAGTATTTCTTGCAGTGATTTCAACTTGACCTCAGAGCTAGGATCTGAAATGCATTGTGTTAACTTTAGTTGAGTCTTTGAAAGGTCATACCAGTAAGTGATTAAGCCTGGCTTCACGATTTATTATTACATCATGTGCAGAGACATTTGCATATTGCTACCAGGTGAGTTGCTGCTAAATTGCCAACCTCCAGTTTATCAACATAGACAATGTAACTTCCCTTGCAGGATGTTGGGGAAGACAGTGATATCCGAGAGCCTCCCGCTTCCAGCTGCTGCCCCGAGTGAAGCTTCCCAGCCACCACAGTCAGTGGTGGACTCCGACCTGGACAGGTGAGTTAATACCTTCATCATTAGTGCCCCATATCTCTCGAAGATACTGTCAAGGGAAGGTTCTTCCAGTTCCGGGGTTCTACTTTTGGAATATCAGTTGTTCCATGGCTATTCACAATCATCACAGCCCAGTCCTAACACACTTACATCTACAGGGTATAAGAATTCCATTTTATCTGGACAATTGTCTGTCTCCAAATGCCGATATGGATGCCAGTTTAGAAGACTCTCAATATCTGCCGTCTTTCCCTGGAATTAGGGCTTTCTCATACATCCAGACAAGGCAAAGCTTCAATCCAAGAAAGTGCAGAAATATATAGGAGCGATATTCAACACTTTCCGAGGCCTTTTAGTGAGCCTAACGGACCCGTGAAGGTCCAGGTTAGAAATTTGGCCTTCAGTAATCCATGCTTGTCGTAAGAGGCGACTAACAGGATCGGGTGGTCAGGCTCGCTGACTTGGTTGACACATGTCATCGGTTCCCAATTACGCAGATCGATGGCCCTGCTGCTGATTGTTTGGTCCAGACTCAATCATTTACAGACTGCCGTCATATAGCTGGAATATTGCTGAGTGTGGCGTATAACTAAACTCACTCACTCACTCACTCACTAGTGAGCCTAACGCCTTAAATGCTTGACGATGACTAACAACGGAAACAGATTTATTTCACTTGGTATTGGTGACAAAGACCAGACATTTATGTACATCTAAAGTGATTTTATGAACTCTCTGTTAGTGATTCTAGGGTCATAAATGAGGTTTCAGAATGATCATTGGTGGTTTGAGAAAAAAAATACTCATGATCACTAAAAAATACATCATTTAACGCTATGAATGGTTGGTAATGTGTCAAACATGAAATTATTTTGCCCTCCTTACAATGAGTGCATGCTATTACAGAATGGGAAATTTCTCAAACAAATAAAACTGTGAAGTACATATATATATGTTCATGATGTATTTGGATAGTTTTCCAGTATTAAAGGGACATATATGTTACAATTTATATAGGAAAGTAGCAAACTTAGAATTCCAGCACATTCCCCAACAGCTATGTTAATCTGGTTCTTGTGTGTTTACCAGTCATGCCAAGGAGCGTATATTATTTAAATAGAATCTTTGGTAAATGAACAAATTTTGAATCCATATAATGTAAAATATAATACTAGTTACTTGTGATATCAGTACTGTTCGGCCAATGAAACTACTATATAAATACTTTTTATGTGGAAAAAGTGCAAGACAGAGAGGTATATTTCAGTGTAAACTTGCCTTCTGATTTTATTCAAACTGTAATACATGTATATGTAAACCATTATTTTAAATGGCATAGTTGGTAAACAGGTTAGACCCCAATGTTAGCACTGGAGACGAGCCCGGCCTATGGCATCCTCCTTCATGATGAAACGGTTATGGTCATTGGTTTTATTCAGACATCTGTTTCATATATTTACATTTTCTTGTTTGTTTATGCCTTCCAGAAAGTATTTTGTACGTGAAGGAAAGGCAATATTTAACCAATATGTTATATGTTTGAGATAAATGTCCTCTTTGTGATTGGCTGTGTTGTTGGCATTGTGTCAAGGTCATCTGTTCATGTCCTGCAGTGACGATGACCTCCAGCCTTTTGACATGTCGCACGATGTAGTCCAGACCAAGGTGAAGGCCCCCAAGTATGTGCGTGACTGTATGGAAGGCTTGATCAGCACAGATGATGTTGACAGAGTGGATGTGTGTCTCCAGGAGGCCGAGACTCTCATCAGGAGGAATCCAGATGGGCTTCACGAGGTACAAATTCTCTCTTTCATAATTTGCCTTCAAATTCACTTTTTAGTGAAATTAAGATCATTTTCATGAAGATCTGTTGAGAGAAAGAGAGAGAGGGAGTGTGAGAGAGAGAGAGAGGCAGGAAGGGACAGAGAGAGAGAGAAAGATATGAGAAACTGGCAATAACCCTGACCACATTTCCAGATGTGACCCCTGCAAAGAGTACAGGGACGGCATGGTGTGCACAAACTCCTAATATGCAGTGTTCCTAAAACTATTCCTATGGCTGTTTTCAGTGTCATGGAATTCGACCTAAATTTGGCTTTGTTAGTGAATTGGGGCATGGTGTTTAGCATAACGGACTGGACATATGATGCCTGGGATCGTGGAGGTTGAGAAACATGAGGTGTATATGCTGCAGGGATCTCCATCATCATATATACTCTGAACCTATTCTTCACCAAAACTTTGTTATTATAGGTCGATGACTGATTATTTAAATATATATGGATGCGGCTCTCAGTAGGTATTTGTGGAGCCATGGAACCTTGGGTTGTGTTATGTACATTCCCGTTTCCCATGACAACAAATCAGACTGTAGTTCACATGAGGACAGTGTCAGTTTCAGAGCACCAAGACAAATGTCCAATAGTTCTTGACCAAACTTTACAGAGATATCGGTCCAGCCATGAACCGTTGGCTTTTGCTATTCAGGAATTTTGAAATAATTATGTTTTCTAGTTTCCATGACAAGAATTCCCATCAATGAAAGGTTCAATTCTGGAGCATAACTGATTAATCATTTGTTTATCCTCACCCATAGCTGAATATTTTGTGATTTTATGCATATTTTTCAGATCTCATTTAAAACAAATAATAAAACATTGACTCACAGCCACAGGTCAGAGTGTTGCCTAATTGCCTGGGATTTGTATTTCTGCGTTGATGTGTTGTTAAGCAATAAAACTCACAGTTTTTAGTACCTACTGCCCCTACTTAATTTGTTTTATATCCTTAAAAATGTAACCATGTATATAGAATGATTACATCTTCAGATGACGTCATTTTTTGTGTAATGGACTTTTAGAAAATCCTGAATTTACATTCCTCTACATGAGCGAGTGTCCGTACAGCCATGCACCATGTTAGTCATGGTGTGACCCCCTTGACCATTGTTGCTGGTGCCAGTATAACTGTTGTGTCTGTGTCCAGATAGCTGCTGAGTTCAGCAAGGTGCTGCTCCACCTCAGTGACAGCGCCAGCTACAGCGGTTTCATCACCAGACGCTTTGCTGCAATGGTGGCTCTCGCAGTCCAGTGTCCCAAACAGGTATGTCTTAGCTTCCACCACTCACTGTTACTGACTGACTGACTTAGTTTGGTTTTACGCCGCTTTTAGCAATATTCCAGCAACATCACGGCGGGGAACACCAGAAATGGGCTTCACACATTGTACCCTTGTGGGGATTCGAACCCGGGTCTTCGGCGTGACGAGCCAACGCTTTAACCACTAGGCTACCCCACCGCCCCTCACTGTTACTGTTACTCATTTTACTGTTGCTTCTATAACAGTAATTGCTACTCAGGTTGCTGTTACATATACCCCAAAAGCTGTTACAGTGAGAGACTGCTGCTTGCCCTTGATGTTTCAGGTGGCTGACTTTCTTACACAAGAGTTCTATGAGAGGAACTACAACCTAAGGCAGAGGATGGACATTCTAGAGGTGAGCAACTATATATACAGCTATCAAGTGCTTGGATTCATTCAAGAGAGACAACTCCGTTAATCCTTTTTCATTAGTTTGTGAAGAGTTATCCCCCCTTGTTTACTTGCTAGCAGACAACACTTTCAGTGCTTCTCAGTATGGATGATTTAAAGAAGAGGAAGTTGATTTTAGAGTATTATAACAAGGACATCAGATCAGCTAAAGTGATTTCAAGTAGAACAGGCATCCCTTTGTCCACTGTTTATCGTGTTTTGAAAACATATTGCAAATGGATATGGCATTGAGCACCAGGGAGGCACAGGTAGGCCCAGAAAATAGACTGTCGGTGACAGGAGGCAGCTTGGTATTGTTGTTTCTAAAAACAAACGAAGGAGTTTAGAAAACTTAAGGCTGGATATGATTGATAGAGGAACTTTGGCTGTCTGTAAGGAGACAATTAGAACTGAGCTGCATGCAATGGGTTGGCAGAAAAGTCGAGGAATTCCAGGGAATATGAACAGTGAGCGGTACACAGATATTCTCGAGGGACATTTACTTCCATCTGCTCACGTGTTCTATGGAAATTTTTTGATTTTCCAGCAGGACAATGACCCAAAACATCGTTCAAAGCATTCACAGGCCTGGTTTCGGACCCAAATTATGACATTATTAGATTGGCCAAGCTATAGCCCTGCCCTAAATCCAATAGAAAATGTTTGGGGACTTATGAAGGAAAGTGTCAATAAGAAAAATCTGACAAATATTGCTGAAATGAAAGAAGAGGTGGTCCGATATTGGGACAGCATGGACCATGACTTTCTAACTTCTTTGATCAGTGGTATGACCCGCCGCATTGAAAGCCTGCATTGCTGCCCATGGTGTCTTGACAAAATACTAACTGTTCACCTGTCTTTGAATCTGGAGTTATGTTCTGCTAATATTCACATTTAATACGTGAGTAAGGAGTAAAAACAAAAACAAACTTACAATCATAAATTCTCAATAATTTCTGGTTGTACTGTAACACTGTATGACTATGTTGAGTTTGAAAATTGTTCAAATTCCATCTCAAATCTTTATTCCTGGTACATGTATTCAAGAGCAGTTTACCCAACAGTCTGTTTTCTTTCCCATTTCATCATGGCTTGAATTAAAAAACAACATGCCTGTGTTTTTTGGAAACTATATTCTTAAAAGATTAATTGTTTCTGAGAAACACATTTGTGGGTTTAACATAAGACAGTGTTACAGTTCTGATTAAGTCTGTCTGTAAAACATTGTGTAGATGTAGACCTTGGTATACAGGGCTCCAGATAATTTTTTGGGGTGCGGGTGTACTTACACCTCATATTGCAAGTGGAGGTGTACTGAAAATTTTGAAGGAGTACTGACATGTTTTTGTGGGAGCGAGTTGGTGATGTGGTTTGTTATTTTTAATATTAAACAACTTTTCAGCTATGAAACTTTATATATGTAAGACTTACAAAGGTATTTATGTGCATACATGAAACGCTTGAAAGGTTATATTATGTCGTACTTCACTGATTTTTAGGCGTATATTACGCCGGTACGCCCCTTATCTGTTGCCCTGGTATATATTGGTGACAGTTCTGATTAAGTCTGTCTGTATGACATTGTGTAGATGTAGACCCTGGTATATATTGGTGACAGTTCTGATTAAGTCTGTCTGTCTGTCTGTACTGTTTGTGACATTGTGTAGATGTAGACCTTGGTATATATTGGTGACAGTTCTGATTAAGTCTGTCTGTACGACATTGTGTAGATGTAGACCCTGGTATATATTGGTGACAGTTCTGATTATGTCTGTCTGTACGACATTGTGTAGATGTAGACCTTGGTATATATTGGTGACAGTTCTGATTATGTCTGTTTGTACGACATTGTGTAGATGTAGACCTTGGTATATATTGGTGACAGTTCTGATTAAGTCTGTCTGTACGACATTGTGTAGATGTAGACCTTGGTATATATTGGTGACAGTTCTGATTAAGTCTGTTTGTACGACATTGTGTAGATGTAGACCCTGGTATATATTGGTGACAGTTCTGATTATGTCTGTTTGTATGACATTGTGTAGATGTAGACCTTGGTATATATTGGTGACAGTTCTGATTATGTCTGTCTGTTCTGATTATGTCTGTCTGTACGACATTGTGTAGATGTAGACCCTGGTATATATTGGTGACAGTTCTGATTATGTCTGTTTGTACGACATTGTGTAGATGTAGACCCTGGTATATATTGGTGACAGTTCTGATTAAGTCTGTTTGTACGACATTGTGTAGATGTAGACCCTGGTATATATTGGTGACAGTTCTGATTATGTCTGTCTGTACGACATTGTGTAGATGTAGACCCTGGTATATATTGGTGACAGTTCTGATTAAGTCTGTCTGTACGACATTGTGTAGATGTAGACCCTGGTATATATTGGTGACAGTTCTGATTATGTCTGTCTGTACGACATTGTGTAGATGTAGACCCTGGTATATATTGGTGACAGTTCTGATTAAGTCTGTTTGTACGACATTGTGTAGATGTAGACCCTGGTATATATTGGTGACAGTTCTGATTATGTCTGTCTGTATGCGACATTGTGTAGATGTAGACCTTGGTATATATTGGTGACAGTTCTGATTATGTCTGTACGACATTGTGTAGATGTAGACCCTGGTATATATTGGTGACAGTTCTGATTAAGTCTGTCTGTACGACATTGTGTAGATGTAGATGGTATATAGACAGTTCTGATTAAGTATACGACATTGGTAGACATTGGTGACAGTTCTGATTAAGTCTGTTTGTAACGACATTGTGTAGATGTAGACCCTGGTATATATTGGTGACAGTTCTGATTAAGTCTGTTTGTACGACATTGTGTAGATGTAGACCCCTGGTATATATTGGTGACAGTTCTATATTAAGTCTGTCTGTACCGACATTGTGTAGATGTAGACCCTGGTATATATTGGTGACAGTTCTGATTATGTCTGTCTGTACGACATTGTGTAGATGTAGACCCTGGTATATATTGGTGACAGTTCTGATTATGTCTGTTTGTAACGACATTGTGTAGATGTAGACCCTGGTATATATTGGTGACAGTTCTGATTATGTCTGTCTGTATGACATTGTGTAGATGTAGACCCTGGTATATATTGGTGACAGTTCTGATTATGTCTGTCTGTACGACATTGTGTAGATGTAGACCCTGGTATATATTGGTGACAGTTCTGATTATGTCTGTCTGTACGACATTGTGTAGATGTAGACCCTGGTATATATATTGGTGACAGTTCTGATTAAGTCTGTCTGTATGACATTGTGTAGATGTAGACCCTGGTATATATTGGTGACAGTTCTGATTATGTCTGTCTGTGCGACATTGTGTAGATGTAGACCCTGGTATATATTGGTGACAGTTCTGATTATGTCTGTCTGTACGACATTGTGTAGATGTAGACCCTGGTATATATTGGTGACAGTTCTGATTATGTCTGTTTGTGCGACATTGTGTAGATGTAGACCCTGGTATATATTGGTGACAGTTCTGATTAAGTCTGTTTGTGCGACATTGTGTAGATGTAGACCCTGGTATATATTGGTGACAGTGATTAGTCTTCATTGTGTAGATGTAGACCCTGGTATATATTGGTGACAGTTCTGATTATGTCTGTCTGCACGACATTGTGTAGATGTAGACCCTGGTATATATTGGTGACAGTTCTGATTAAGTCTGTCTGTAACGACATTGTGTAGATGTAGACCCTGGTATATATTGGTGACAGTTCTGATTATGTCTGTTTGTACGACATTGTGTAGATGTAGACCCTGGTATATATTGGTGACAGTTCTGATTAAGTCTGTTTGTAACGACATTGTGTAGATGTAGACCCTGGTATATATTGGTGACAGTTCTGATTATGTCTGTCTGTACGACATTGTGTAGATGTAGACCCTGGTATATATTGGTGACAGTTCTGATTATGTCTGTCTGTACGACATTGTGTAGATGTAGACCCTGGTATATATTGGTGACAGTTCTGATTAAGTCTGTCTGTACGACATTGTGTAGATGTAGACCCTGGTATATATTGGTGACAGTTCTGATTAAGTCTGTTTGTATGACATTGTGTAGATGTAGACCCTGGTATATATTGGTGACAGTTCTGATTAAGTCTGTTTGTACGACATTGTGTAGATGTAGACCTTGGTATATATTGGTGACAGTTCTGATTATGTCTGTCTGTACGACATTGTGTAGATGTAGACCCTGGTATATATTGGTGACAGTTCTGATTATGTCTGTTTGTAACGACATTGTGTAGATGTAGACCCTGGTATATATTGGTGACAGTTCTGATTAAGTCTGTCTGTACGACATTGTGTAGATGTAGACCCTGGTATATATTGGTGACAGTTCTGATTAAGTCTGTCTGTGCGACATTGTGTAGATGTAGACCCTGGTATATATTGGTGACAGTTCTGATTAAGTCTGTCTGTACGACATTGTGTAGATGTAGACCTTGGTATATATTGGTGACAGTTCTGATTATGTCTGTCTGTACGACATTGTGTAGATGTAGACCCTGGTATATATTGGTGACAGTTCTGATTATGTCTGTTTGTAACACATTGTGTAGATGTAGACCCTGGTATATATTGGTGACAGTTCTGATTATGTCTGTGTAGATGTACCCTGGACATATTTGTGTAGATGTAGACCCTGGTATATATTGGTGACAGTTCTGATTAAGTCTGTCTGTACGACATTGTGTAGATGTAGACCCTGGTATATATTGGTGACAGTTCTGATTATGTCTGTCTGTACGACATTGTGTAGATGTAGACCCTGGTATATATTGGTGACAGTTCTGATTAAGTCTGTCTGTATGACATTGTGTAGATGTAGACCCTGGTATATATTGGTGACAGTTCTGATTATGTCTGTCTGTACGACATTGTGTAGATGTAGACCTTGGTATATATTGGTGACA